GGGGGGGGGGGGGGGAAAGATGGTGGTGCTCGGCGCGTGCAGCCGCCCTACATGGCTTAGTGCGCTCTGAGCTGAATCCTAATGGACACTCGCTATACACAGAAAACATCAAACAAACTTACAATGTGGGTTTACACTGCGTTTTAAATACCTACAAAATGTACAATAGTTTATAAAGTTCGTCAGAAACACACAGTGAATATAAATATCGTCATTCCTTTAATGTTTATTTATTTCTTTCTATATGGTTAATACTTTTTTATTTATTTTTTTCAAAGTGAACGACAGTTTAGAACGCGAAACTGTTCACAAAGTTAATTGCAACGTGGGAATTATGTAAAGTTAAGACAATGTTGCGCTAAAACACATCGCATCAATTACAATATGCATCAGTTTAAAAAGAAAAAAACAATACTCTTTTTATTGTTTTTTGTTCTTGTGTGGCATAAAAATGAACTTCATTTTCATGTATTTACCATTTTGTTTTATACAACGTACGAATATCGATTTCAATGGGTTAATGAAAATTGCACACTCAGAGTGCGGAGAAGTCGTGTTGGTACAAAAGCTCGTGTGTAGTACATACATACTGCACGAATGAATAATGCACAGAGCTCTTCAGAGCACTCTATTGTTTCCGAAACCTGCGACTCCTGCTCTCTTTTGAAATGTTGCTATAACGTGCAGTAACCCAAATGCAGTACCTTAACTACTTCCAATTTAGGTACTGTGTTCTAATTACTCTGTGTATTAGACGAACACTAATAACTAATGAAAAAAAGCGTTTACTAATGTTTCATTGTAAATTAATAATTTTATCACTTGTAAGTACAAGTTTTGGTAAGTACAATGTACAATGTGAGCACACACCGCGTTGTCATGGTTACCAAGGATGGTATCCTTAGCGATCATAGGCATGCTCTCTGAGACAAAAAAACCTATTAGTATCAAGCTTCATAATGACTTGACTTGAAAATTAGTAATGAGTCAATTAAGACAAAAGAGTATTTCGAGTACTATTATTATTCTTAGCCAATGTATTTTGTATCCCTCAAGGGTGAGTGAAAATGTCTAATTAAAGATCGAGGAGGCGAATGAATGACTCATCGTCATAAAAATATTTCCTCTGTCGCTGCGGCGCGGATTATCTCCGCACCACACGCGTCGTCGTTGCGTGTCCAATCTGGGATGTATAACGCGCGATAACTGCTAGGGCCAGCCCTAGGTACAAGTCGCGTGCACTAAATTGCCTGGATACCGCACATACGGTTCACGTCGGAGACTACCACACTATACTCACTTAATAGTACCAGTTCATGCAATAATAATGTTTGCGGGCTCGATAAAGGATTTGTAATAAATCAATAACCACTGCAAAAAATAATGAGATATTATTATTAGTCTCATAGTAAAAATTGAAGTTTCATGTTAATAATAATTTAATACTTCATGTAGAAACTTATGTCTATGCTGCAACCAATAGAGGAAGCATTGCCCAACTGCTGCAGCTGCAGTCTGTGCCAATGGCAACGTCCGCTTCCGCCCCCGCTGCCGCCGGTGCTGTAGCCGCAGCGTTACACGACCAATACCAATCTAACAGTGGTAGAGCCCGCTAACAGTGGTAGAGCCCGCTAACAGTGGTAGAGCCCGCTAACAGTGGTAGAACCCGCTAACAGCGGTAGAGCCCGCTAACAGTGGTAGTACCCGCTAACAGCGGTAGAGCCCGCTTTAACATCTTCGCAAGAATTGGCCCGGCTCGCCCGGTAAAATACCACGACCACACAGAAGACAGGCATCAAGTGGAAGCAATTCCGCGTTTCGTCTGATGAGTATGCGTCCCGGAGGCTTAATTTTCTCCTCTTTCTCTTCCTAGCCTTTTTCTTCTACGGAAAGGATGGAAAGTGGAAGTGGACTTCCGGATGAGAGTATGCATAGGAAGGGAAAATATTTTCTTCCTGTGCATCCTCTTCTCCGTCGACTAAAGGTAGGCAACGCATATGCAATTGCGTATGTCTATGGGCAACGGTCACTTCGCTATTTCAGCGATTTCAGGTGACCGCTCGATCGTTTGCCACCTTATGATATAATATAAAAAAATCTTTTGCAAGCTGATTCACTTGTTAACTACAGTTAAAAATTTGCGTGCATAGTTATAAGGGCTCACTGTTTGATTTGATTGAGTATATAGGATCAAAATTCAACGATAATCTGGTTTGTAGGCCGTCTCTTTTTACCTTTTTCCTGTTAAACGCTGATAAATTAGTCATTAAGACAGCTAAATATTTTATTTGCATAGCGATTTACGGTACCCAGTAATTTCCATAAATGGTAACGATGCATGAAATTGAAAAGTTTAACGAGGCGAAGGAACGGGGGCTGCTAATAGAAATGTGCTATCCTGATTTACTGAGCTACGGGTTATGAGCTGAACATCACACAACTTGATAACATCTGCGATAAATCAACACTACACTCAAATCATTCTGTACATTTATTTTTCTTCCAGTACTGCTGCAATTAATACTTTGCAAAGTTTTACTGAGACCTTGTGCAGATGTTATCTTAGAAAAAATATTCTGTTGAAGATAACTTTAATTGCAAACCATAATTAAATTAATCTATGCATACAGCTGCAAGTAGAAATGACGACACGATTCTGTAAACATTTTAAACGCGATTTTATGTAAATTTGCAATTTAATTAAAAGTGGAGCTTTCACCAAATTGCCGCAAGGTAAGTGGAAAGAGTTCACGCTAACGATACGATACGCCGAGTACCGATAGCGAGCGATCTCAGCTTCAAGATAGCGGGCAGACAGACAACTTTCAGTTGGGCGCAGGCGCTGTGTTACGCCTCGCTCTCGCACTGCCGGAGTCTCACTGACCTTACCTTAAACAGATTGTAAACTAGCGCACGGCATTGCCCTTGCTGCCAGCTACAGGAGGATTAGCTCGGCCCTTAACCGACTACACACGGCAACATGTCAATGTATTTTGTACAGTTAAGGAGATTCCAGTTGGTGACTTATTACAACGGTAACTTATGGCATGCTTGTTTCTGCTATATGTAACTCAAATTTTGTCAAAATATCGGATCAACTTTATTAGAGAAACATTAGTAATGCTTGAAATAAGTGCAAGACACCGGTGGACATGCAAATGTTTCTCCGAGTGCCGCCCCCGCACCTCCCCTCATCACCATAGCAATGTGAAAACGCTTGACACCGCTCGCGCTCGCCGCGCTCTCCGCGCCCGCTCACTGATACAGCCTGAGCACAACGAAATAATTACTTACTTGATAATTTACATACTATTTTGTATATTAAAATATATCCTATATACTTATTTATATAGCACAATCGAAATCTACTCTTATCCACTCGATAGAAAACTTTTATTTTTTATGTTTAGAAAATTATAAATGTTATTTAATTATTTCCGATTTCTTAAACTCAATAGGATGTTTAAATGTATACAATGTTGATCGTTCATTATTAAGATTCTAATCGACGTTACAATTGAATAACATTTACATAAGTAATTCATTGCGTACTCACACAAAAATTTTGCCCATGAATGTGGATCAGACAATAGACTGAGTCAGCGTGCGGAAACGCCTCAGCGGCTGCGGGGGAGAGGGAATTGACAGGCGCCGTGTCGCTTAATTAACAATTTCGCGCGCTTTTCGGTGGCACCGTCGTCCGCTGTCGGTCGCGGTCGGCGGGCCGGAGACGACTGAAGTAAATGCTGGCGCCGCCGCTAGCGACCCATTGCCGTGAAGGGGGTTGCTATGGCTGTCTCTCACCGTTGCCACAATACCCCACGCATATTTTGGATTGAACTACACAAAAACTAAAGGGTGGCTGTCAATATATTTTCGAAATCAAAATGTACATACCTTTCCATACTACTTCTTAGGAATGGGTGGGATGGAGCACTAAAATTTAATACAACTATTTATAATGAATTTATTACAACTAAAAAGGTATAGCTACAATAAAAATATCTAAAATCGAACCCGCACCAGGATGGTTTTTATTTATTTCATGACCTAACACGATTCCGACTTTAAGTAGCGTGATAAGTCGCTCATCAGGGGGAGGTTCGTACGTGGTACAGGATAAAGTTCTTTATTAGTTCTTAGTTTTTATGAGTAGGTACTTAAAAACTTTTCCTTTATCAGGATTATTTTGTATTCACAAAATATATACCAATGTTTTTAATCCTCATTACATGACAAAATTCCCGCGATGTTACCTGCCTAATTTTTTTTCTGAGCTTATATCTACCTTCATAAAATAATTGCATCATAAAAAAATGTGCCTGAACTAATCATTAATGTAACTTATATCTGTGTATTATAAACAAGTTCTAATCTATATTCATTAGAACTTTTTAAGTTATCTAGCGAGGTTAGCGACTGGCGTGTATTTAGCGGCGGTTCCCGCATTACGACTGCATGACTACCGCCACAATGCAGTACTCTGCATTACGCGAACACATCTTATTGAATGGGATTTTCAAAGTTGAATATTATAACTATTTTATAACAGCATGTTTAGATATCATAATAATTGAATAACAAATAATGCATTTATAATCTAAGAACATTCTATTCTCTGGTATGAAACACATCAAATGAACTTTCACTTCCTTCTCATATAATTATATTATAACCATCTCAGTAATCCATATATACAAAAATTCTTCCATTCAAACAAGTCACAGAAATTAACAGAATTTGATTTAAATACTAGCTACAGGTACTAAGTTATAAAAATTCAGAAACATGCTTTCATTCATAAAGACAAATATAATATATAAATCTTAGATAAAATAAAATAAATAGCGATGAGGTAATACGAAGGACAAGTGTTGTCATGCTCAACATAAAGCAATTCAACAAGCTGCATGGCATAACCTTGTTTGACATAGCATAAGCCGCCTTGATAAAAACTCACCTAAATAATTTTTGCTATATTCTTCTTATAAATTTAAAATAGAAAATCTAGTTCTAACTAGGATCCTATTAGAATTTAAAAGTGATAAGAATCTAAATCAATGTAAAAGAATCAATATTCAGGTATTGAATTTAATATCTATAAGGAACCTACTGTCATCTTTATGACTTCAATAATTAGAACAGGTATTTTATAAAACCTAGCTCCGATGTTACCCATTTTAATTGAAACATCTAAACCAAAATCTATTAAATGATGGTATTCAATATTTGTGATGTTATAATATTTCTACCTTGGTTAAGCATTTATTTCCCTTGTGAATATCAGAGAGTTTCTAAGTCATTCTGTCTTTTAAAAATAAACTTTGACTGTAAATATATAAAATGATATTGTATATATAAAAAATAATTAAAACATGTAAAGAATTATAAAGATGGTGTGAGATTGCTCAGCCTCTGCTTCCATGTAAGTATAAAAGTGTGCTGATGTGTATACGGACGGAATGGACATCAAAATCATAAATAATATGTAAAGTAAACATGATTAAAAAAACGAAATTCAACAGTAATTACAGAAAAACTGTATGAATTTTGAAAGTGGTTAATGGTTGTATGTATGTTTCTCAAATGATATATAAATACATATATTAACCTGGTGTGTGGACGGACGTGGTTGCATTTTGTGTGTACTTTGGGAAAGTCATCAGAGGGTACCTTAAAATTGGATGCGCTGGTCTTCCTGCCCTGCATGCCTCTTACCAAACAACACGACAACTTTATTAATAAAATTTAATTATAATGGTATTAATTATCCTATTGCAAATAATAATATATACTGTATTAAATAAATAAATTTTCAACAGACCAGCGGCGGTTATTGTCAAATTCTTAATAATTTATATTTGTAGTAATCCAAAGTTATTTGCGCCAGTCGCGCAAGCAGTACATAGCGGAAGCGTTTTCACAACACCGTATACGCCAAAACATACAAAAATCGATATCTTTATGCGGTAATAGCGAAATTTTACAAATTGCTTTTCACGTCATTCATATAATTTTTATAACAATATTACTTACGATTCTGACAATCAATTTTCTTCGCCGATGTTTTCCGGTCGAAGATCTTTTGAACACTGAAAATTTCACATTTCTGAATTGTGTTACAATTTTTTGAGAGTTTTGTTTGTTTTAGGTAAAATATTACAATTTTGATAGATCCATTTCTTCGTCTTTCAAATTTAGCACACGCGCGTCATTCACACTCATAGATGCGTTCGCGTATTTGATGATATTTATTTTGAATTTAATTCTTTAAATAAATAGAAGTCTATTGTATTATACATAGTGGAGAATATCAATATTACTACAATTAATGTATTTATTTCTAGTTCTCAAAATATCGGCTATTTTGGTGTGTGTTAGTCGAAACATTTTTTAACCTTTATCTGTCTAATCTGTGAATTGACAGAATTTGTCAATCACTGTCAACCTGGCATCAAATTCAAAACTTTACTCAAAACGAAATATTTTTGTTGTTATATTGAATTGCGTTTCCATTCTTATTTGTATTTTAGGATTTAATAACATAACGGTTCTTATTTCTTTTCATTTTTAAAAAACTTACAATGACAGAAGTTCAGTTGCAAGAATTTAAACTTGAGCCAAATTCTGAACTTCGTTTTGAAGTAGAGTCAAAAAATGAAAAAGTAGTTCTTGAGGTATTACATTCAAATAGCAGGTTTAAAACTATATTTTCACAGAAACTGTTTAATACTTTAAAGGTATAATTTAATTCATAGGTTAAAAGTGGCTACGCTGAGCTGTTTGGGACAGAGTTGGTGAAGGGGAAGCCATATGAATTTCATACAGGTGCTAAGGTTGCTGTGTTTACGTGGCACGGCTGCATAGTAGAGCTCAGAGGCAGGACAGAAGTTAGTTATGTGGCGAAGGAGACGCCAATGGTATAGTGTGTTTAAGTTATATTGGTGCTGTTTTGCAATAGCAAGGATATAGCTTAGGAAATTGAGCGGAGGAAAGAATCACTAGAAAGATTAAGTTAAGGATAGTAAAAATATTCTTTTTTTTAAGTTAAATAAAAGCACACTTCTTTTTGTTATATATGCACTTGTTCATAATTTTTTTAAACTATGATTATTGTTCCAGGTTATCTATCTAAATGTTCATGCGGCATTGGAGCAGCAAAGGGTTGCTGCAGAGCAAGAGAACACACGGGGCCCTGTCACCATGATCGTGGGCCCAGGGGATGTGGGCAAGTCCACACTCACACGTCTGTTGCTCAACTATGCGGTGCGGATGGGCCGCAGACCTATTTATGTGGACCTAGATGTTGGCCAAGGTCACATTAGTGTCCCAGGGACTATTGGTAATCATTCTAAAATTTGCTAATAAAAAGTAGATTAAATTAAATAAAATTTAATAATTATTTAACTGAATATCGTGTAGGTGCGCTCCTTGTGGAGCGTCCGGCGTCCATTGAAGAGGGTTTCAGCCAGCAGGCCCCGCTGGTGTACCACTTTGGCCACAAGTCTCCAGAAGAGAATATAGAGCTCTACAACACAATTGTCTCCCGGCTGGCTGAGGTCATCGCTGAGAGGTGTGAAAATAACAAAAAAGGTACTGATACCAAAATTATAACTCCTGATCTGCAATATTTTCTTGTAGTATGCAGTATTTTCTCTGTAAGTTATATATTTAAGAAAACAAATATCCTCAAATAGGTTATACTTATTTGCATTTGATTGTTGACAACAGTGCTTAGTTATGACTGCTGTAACTGGCTATTCACTTGTGTATTGACTGCAGCATCAACATCAGGAGTGATCATCAATACCTGTGGCTGGATCAAGGGTGCGGGCTACAAGGTGCTCACTCACGCCGCACAGGCATTCGAGGTGCTTCGACTATTGCCTTATACATCTGCTAATTGTTTACTAATAAATAAAATATAAAATTAATCATATTTTTCAGGTGGATGTTATATTAGTGTTGGACAATGAGAGATTATATAATGAACTAAAACGAGATATGCCCAAGTTTGTGAAAGTCGTGTATCTGCCCAAAAGTGGAGGAGTAAGTTGAATTTGAATTATTTTAGGTCGATTGAATGATGAAACAAGTCAGTATAGAACTGTGTGTTGCAGGTGGCGGAGCGGTCGCCGGCGCAGCGCGCGGAGGGGAGGGACGCTCGCATCCGGGAGTACTTCTACGGGCGCCGCACGCCTTACTACCCTCACTCCTTCGACGTCAAGTACTCAGACCTCAAGATATATAAGGTGCGTTACTACATGTTTTTCCACAATAATAGAAGCAGCGTTTTTAAAAATTGTGTGTTATTGTGTGTGCGGGCAGGTGGGGGCGCCGTCTCTGCCGGACTCGTGCATGCCGCTGGGCATGCGCGCGGAGGAGGCGCTCACCAAGCTGGTGGGCGTGTCCCCCGGGCCCGCCCTGCAGCACCGCCTGCTCGCCGTCTCCTTCGCCGCCGAGCCCGACGACCAGGTGCCGCACTGCAACCTCGCCGGCTTCGTCTGCGTGTCAGTCTTAACCACTTAAACATCACTCACTGTCTTATTAGAAGAAAACATGTTTAGTGTATAATGTAATGGTGCATGTTGCAGGACTGCGGTGGACCCTGAGCGGCAGACGATGACGATCCTGTCCCCGCAGCCGCGGCCGCTGCCCACCACCGTGCTGCTGCTCTCCGAGCTGCAGTACATGGACAACCACTAGCACATGCGCTTCTCCACAAGCCTGCACCTCTTGTGACAAGTGTTCAGTGGAATTGATGTCTAATGTCAAGTTGTGAACAAGTGATGACACGTTGTGTTTTTCTTTGTATAGAATGAACTAAAAATGAAAACTTGAATTTGACTGTGATCGAGCGATATACATGATGTGTTGTGTTTGTAATGCAGCAGGTTACTTTAATGTTTCTATGATTGGACTATTCTGTAAATTAATTTTAATTGTGTTTTCTCAGAAACAGTTGTATATGTAGTAGATGTGTAAATATTTGTCTTCATTGAAATAAATGACACTCATAAAAAATGCTTTTTATTTTTAAATTTTTACATATTATACAAAAAAATGAACATTTACTTTAGTTGTGAAATCATAAAAGAAATAAAACAACATTTCAGAAATAAATCAAGATACATTTTAAATATAATCATTATAACAGCGTACGAAATAAGTACAATAGAAGTTATGTTATATAGCTGGAGCACCGACTCAGTCACCACCAAAATAGCTAACATTAACTATTATTGAAAATTGGCTGTAAAGGTTTTCTTAAATATCAACAGCGCATTACGTTGTGAGTACGCGTGTGTGTACACACCATCTACAATATAGACTTATTTAATTTGAGACATTTTCATACTCTCTACATGATTCTCGCACAACTTCTTGGGAGAGGTTGAATTTGGAACAAGAATATAGTTTTACAGATAGAAGATTTTATAAGCAGACTGGTGGACTACTTATGTATATTTGAGGTTGAGGTTGCCGTGTCGCTAGTTGTGCTGTCGGTCCTGGCCCGGCGGGGCGTGGTCGGGGGCGTGGTCGGGAGCGGCGGCGGGGGCGTGACCGCGCGCGTGCGCCTGCGCGTATTTGATGGCGACACGCATCGCGTCTTGCACCAGCTGCTCGCACGTGATCAGGCTCACCTGCACCGACAACACTCGGCTTTAACAAGATTCGCCGGGTTAGCGAAGCAGTCGCGGCGCAGCAGGCGGGGACAGTCACCTTGGTGGCGGCCAGCTCCGCGTAGAGGGCGGGGTCGCGCGCGGCCGGCACCTGCACCTCCGCCCCCAGCACGGGCGCCACGCACGACACCCACCTCTCCGCGCTGAACTCCTCCGACACGTCCTCCTGCGGAAGCAACATTCGGTCAGCACTCGGCTACGACGTTCCGCGGCAACGGTTACAACTAGCGCCGGCGAGCGACCTGCGGCACGGAGGCGGAGGCGCGCAGCACGCCGGCGGAGCAGGCCAGCAGCAGCACGGGCAGGGCGGACAGGGCGGGCGCAGCGGGGGCCGCGGCCAGCGCGGCGGCCGTACCCTCGCCGCTCAGCAGGTACGAGCTGCGGACGAAGTGCACCGCGAACCTGCGCCCCGCCCGCCGCGCCTCGCACATCGCCTCCGCCACTTCCGCCTCCGCCAAGCGTCTGCCGGCAGTGCAAACATTACTGCTCGTCTACATGCCGAAGAGTTAATCGTTAGTTGAACGCTACGGGCTTATCGAAACATATTTAATAGTTCGGGTGGTGAGCCGGCGCTGACTCGTCGTGATAGAACTACAACGAACACAAGTTGAAAATGTTATGTGTGCAACGATCGGTGAACACTGACTGCAGCACGGCGTCGGTGTCGGCGTCGGTGTCGGTTTCTGTGTCGGCATCTGTGTCGGTGTCGGGCTGCGCCTCGAGCCGCCGCAGAGTCTGCAGGCAGGCGGCGGCGCGCCCGAGTGGCGCGGCCCCGCCCCTCGCGCCCCGCCCGCACAGCGCCTCCAGCCGCCGCCGCGCCTCTCCCGCCTCGCGCCGCACTCGCCCCGCCTCCCCCAGCCGCGCCACCTCGCACAGGTTCTCCGTGTGGCAGAACAACTCGTGCGCCTGTGACGTCACACGCGACATATAAAACGGATTCGTCCTAAGTTCACTCGTGAGCTCGTGCTCGTCGATGCGCGGCGCACCTGAAGCGCGGCGTCTCCAGCGAGCGCGTGCACTGTGGGCGCGTTGCCGCCGGCGCCGCGCACCGCACTCACGCAGAACTCCCGCAGCGAGCCGGCGGACGGCGCGTGCGTGCCGCAGCACAGCTCCCTGCGGCGATGCACGCACTTCGCTCAATATACAATTACAAAGATCGATTTTTAAACGTTTTATTTATTGTTGTAATAACCTGGAGACGAGCCCGGGGGCCTCGCAGACGACGAGCCGGAGCCCGCGCTCGGGGTAGGCCTCCCCGGGCACGCGTAACGCTCCGCCCTCCTCCGCCAGCCTCACGCCGTCCACCACGCGCGTGCACACCGGCGCGTCGCTGCGGATCGCCGCCCTGACACACGCGCAACGACATCGCTCACTCTCTCGTTTACACGATATCGAGGGTCCATAATTTGAAAATGAATGAAATGTATGCAAAATGTAGATATTTGGGGCCGCACCGACCTGACGAGTTCCTCTGCGTCCAGCAAGACCTGGTGCGTCAGCTTGTCGCCGTAGAGAGCGAGCGTGAGTGCGAGGCCGGCGGGCGTGACGGCGGCGCCGGTCTGGCAGAGCGCGGTGCGCGGCAGCAGACGACGCAGCGCCGCGTGCAGCAGGTGCGTCGCCGTGTGGTGCTGCATGAGACGCAGGCGCCGCGCCCCGCACACCTCCGCCCGCACCTCCACCCCCGCCCCCACCCCGCACCGCACGTAGCACCTCCCACCGCTTCTGTTCACTACGAAGTGTCCCTTGTGGAACACGAAGTCGCGCACTTTGAACACTTTCTCCACTTTCATATAAACATGATCACTAATTGTCAAGAGGCCGGTGTCCGCCTCTTGGCCGCCTTCCTCGCAGAAGAAATTAGTTCTGTCGGTGACTAGATAGTAGGGAGCGGTTTCGCACGGATCCAAGAAGTCGATCCATTCGCCGTCTTCGTTCACAATGGCGACTAGATTACACTGGAGCGGCTGGAACAGTACCTCATTGTTCTCATATAAATAATGATATTTGTAAGCGTCGTCTGTCCGTGTAATGTTACTCTTCAGCAACCTGTCAATAATGTTATCGAAGGCGAGCTCCTTCTGCGCTCGTTCTTTGAAAGCGGTCTTATGTTTAGATTTGTGGCGAGCGAGGAGATTCCAAAATCCTCTCTTATCAATATCTACATTGTTCAATGTGGCTATTCTCTGTATGACATCCTCGGGGAAGCCGTGCGTGTCGTACAACTTGAATACTATTTCTCCGGGTATTGTCGCACACTTCATTTTGGACATTGTCTGAAATATCAAATAGGATGGAATACACTTTAAATTTATCTTTTTCAAATATTCAACAATAGAAATAAACAATTATTCAGCAAATATAATATCATTTTTTGTGGGTTAGTTAAGTTTTGTACCTCTTTAAACTCTGTATATCCCAGCGGGAAGCCTGCCAGCTCGATGTCAGCCAGTGTCTCTACCTCCGGGTATTTCTGGATCAGACCTTTCCATTTCTTCCTGAGATCAGCGCGCAGTTTGGCGTACGACTCTCTCTCATGGTCTATGATTAGGTTGGCGTCGTTTTGTTTAGCGATCAACTCTGGATATGTATCTCCAAGGCTCGAGGCGACTTCTGCGTACAGCCGGTTCAAGAGTTGAGGGTTTTGGAAGACGTCCGTACAAATCTTGAACGATTTACGCATTATTTGTTTCAAATTTAAACTGTAAAATTAAAAGATGTATACATAGAAAATATACTTCCAATGCAACGCGAAATTAAAAACATATTGATGAGTAAAGCTGACCTGGCTACGGGGAAGACGTCATCTGCGAGACAGACGCTGAGCATGCGCGCGTGGTCCGCCAGCCTCCGGTACGCCTGGTCCAGTGCCGCGTCCGGCTCGTAGCTCCCGCTGTACGCGCCCACTCCTTTGCTGTTCTGTTACAATCGTTATATTAATTTTCAATAATTTTTACATATCAATAATTGTAACAACATAGTTTGTGTTACCCTGTGTATGGCATCCATCAATGGCCTGAAGAGATCTGTGTCATAGTTGGAGTGCACCCCTTGCAACAGCGCGGCGACGCGCTCCAGACCCATGCCGGTGTCCACGTGCTGGCGCCGCAGTCGCTTCACCGACCCATCGCCTTCTCTGACCGTACACTCAAATTAATATGTGAAGACTTTTTACTAACATTAGGATATTTTTTTTAACATAAACTAACCTGTTACAATCAATAAAGACGAGGTTCCATATCTCAGTGAGGCTGCCATCTGCTCCCACATAGTGCAACTCGGTGCAAGCCCCACACGGGCCTGTCGCCCCCATCTCCCAGAAGTTGTCTGAGGCCCCGCGCGCCTGCAGCCTGCTCGCTGGCACACTGACGTTACAAACTGTTACAATTACTTTGTATCAAATAGTCAAACAATAACATTCCTAACTAAACATACCCAAGTGATCTCCAAATGTCTCTGCACTCTCTGTCCTCTTGTAAGCCTATAACAACATCCCCACCAAAGTATGTCACCAGCAGGTCTTCAGGTTTCAGGCGAAATGGACCCAGAAGCAGGTCCCAGGCCATTTGACATGCTTCTTTCTACAAGTAAAGAATAACTTATTAAATTATAGCCATAATATATAAAAATGAATCCCCATTTTCCTTGCTCATAACCACCAAAGGGTGGATCAATTTTACTATTTTTTTTTGTTGTCAAAGGAAGGTTCTTATGAATGAAAATATTAGCTTGCTTTTTAATTAGGTGCGGTCAACACAAAGAGCAATATGATTTTATGAAAACATCAATGAAATCAAATTTATGATTATACAATAAGTTATATTGGAAAAATTATTGAAATGTATAATTTTAATCTGCTCTTTTCATCCTTTTTACATTTGTGTACACTTACTTTGGATTATAACCTACGTTCCTAATCTTATGTCATTTATTTGTAAACATGTCAATGGTGTTAAGCTGTATTGTGTAAAAATTAAAATATATTATAAAAAATAAATTTGGTTTTTGAAGCAACTTATTAGAGATTCAGACATTGTTATAATAAAAGTAATAATAAATAAACTCTTTGATCAAAATGATTATGAATTTATCATTACAACTTTACACAAAACATATAGAACAAGACACTACAATTTAATAAATGAGAACTTTAAGGAAAAACTGACTCATAATTATACTTAAAACAAAAGACTTCTCTATTTGATAAAAATATTAAAATCCCACGGCATCAATATGTGCCAGTACTTTTAATTTTCTGGTGGCGCCATCCAATGGAAAGACGTTGAACACACAAATCTTCTATTTGTGATAAAAATAATGTCCTATTTACCTTATAATAGTCGCCAAAGGACCAGTTCCCCAACATCTCAAAGAAAGTGTGATGATGACCATCCATCCCCACCACCTCCAGGTCATTGTGTTTGCCACCAACTCTCACACACTTCTGTGAGTTGACTGCCCTCGCGCATGGTGGCTCTACTACACCCAGGAATACTCCTTTGAACTGAGATTTTGAGAAAAATGCACGATATCACTTCTTATACTACAATTCTCAGAGAAATATTAATTATAACGAATTTAGTGCAACATATAATTGACTAGAAAAAAAATGTTATTATTACCTGATTCATTCCGGCGTTAACAAAGGGCACTGTGGGGTCACATAACGGCACCACAGAACTAGACTTTATAAACTTATGCCCGTGGTTTTTACAAAAGTATTCAATGAAAGAGTTCCTAATGCTATTGGACGTCAATGTCCTGTGGATTTTGTAAAATGTATGAGACGTTTTATTTGTAATCGGTAAACGATACATTTTTTAAAGTTAAATTTAATTTACTTAATATTAGTACTAACAGCATTTAGTAACTTAAGCATTTAAGATATTAAAACATTATCAGTATCATAACTTTAAATCAGAAACAAAAACATATGTCAAAATCAAAATTTATATGTTACTGTCATTTGCTGTCATTTGTCAAATTCTATCAAAATCAAAGAAAAATTATTATTTAGATACATGACCTACTGAAAAAAGAAGGAATTCAGTTTTTTTAGTGATCCCAACAAATATTCGTGTATTTATAATAGAGGAGAGTGAGCTACTTCATTATCGAATATTTGGAATCAATTAGATTTTTGAATTTAAAAACTTGCTCCGTTAAGTATAGTATTTCTAAACGAGTGTCTTTAGATAACGATTTGACAATTTGATAGTTGTTCAAACTGACGTGTGTTTTTTGATGTTTTGGACTGTTTATTCGAGAAGAGCGTAGATTAATTTCGTATTTGTGGTTTAAGAAACAAAAATATTCAAATTAAAACGAAATGTTTAGCGGTTGCAATTAGAGTACATTTTAGGATACAAAAAAATCTCTTCGGGGACTTTGTGGTTTAAAAACTATGTTATTCTAATTAATGATCCCTTTATACGTAGACACGTAAAATTATTTATTTTGGTCTAAAAGTCAATTATTACGACATGAGTCGCTTACATCTTTTAGTAATCTACTTATGTATTAGTCTCTCTGCTGCTGAGCTTCTCGGCCCAGAGAAACGTAAGAACAAGGAGAAAATGGAAGAAGACGATGCCGATCCTCCTGAGGACAGTGATGCAAAAGCCAAAGCTACTATGGAGTATCTTACAAGGCTTAAACAGGACTTGGTTTATCTACAAAATGCTGCGGATGCAATCAAGCAGAATGTTGATAAGGATGAAGAGATAGCGGACACTTTAAAAGGTTAATTGATTTTTTTTACAACATGTTATTGATATTATGTGTGTTTAACTTACCTACTTTTAAAATTCATCAGAAATTTGAACAAAACAAAGAAGAATTGTTAATTTTAGACATGATACGAATATTTGATGATTCATCTATGAGAATGACATATTTTCAATATGAAATGAAATCTTCATACTGATCTGGCTAATGTATAAGTTGTTATTTTAAATGTTATTGATTTCATAATTTTTTGGAATAAATTTTTATGATTAACAGAACTCTTTAAGATTCCTACAAAAAACTCTGATGAAAATTTGGAGGAAATGAAATATGCCCTGAAAGTTATAAAAAGACATCCCTTTCTGACACAAACAGGAGCCATGTTGAATACCGGCACAAGGAGCAGCAAGGTCCATGACATTCATCATCAGGTACTACCTTGTTTATATATGAAACTAGCTGTCGCCCGCCACTCTGTCCGTGTGGATATATAAAAGAACTTAATTAGTGTAGCCCACCCATCCATCTAAACATTTGCATTTATAATATTAGTAAGTTAAATAAAAAGCAGCTCTTCAAGGCATAAATTCGAAAAAAAAAATGAATAAATAGTATCCTATGTCCGTCTCCTGGCTCTAAGCTACCTCCTCATAAAATTTCAGCCATATCGGTAAAGCCGTTCCTGAATTATAATTAGTGTAACTAACTCTACTTTCTTTTATATATAGTTAGGCAGTAATTTTAGTTAAAATTTAAATACTATTTAACAATTTGAACTTTAAATTTATTTATTGCTATTTTAATTTATTTATTGTACAGAAAGGTGAGACAGGATATGAAGACATCTTCTCGATCATACAAGATTTGTCTGTAGAAAAAGAACCAGAGTTGTCTCCTGAATTAGAAGAAGGTTAAATTGTTTTATTTTATTATTTACACAAATACCTTATGAATAGTGTTTAAATCACTAGCTGTTGCTTACCACTCTGTCTGCCGGGAATTAAAAACTAAATAACTACTAATCTATGAGATTTTCCAGACTGTGTTCTACATCTATGCTGAATTTCAGTAAGATCCACTCAGCAGTTCTGGAGATACCTTCTAACAAACATCAAATCATTCATCCATGCATCCATGTAAATATTCGCATTTATAATATTAGCAAGGTTATTGTCTGTTGCAACATATTATATAATTTTTAAAATATATTTTAGCCAAGGAGCTGTTCGACGCCGCTATGCAGAAGTTGGAGCGGCGATCTGCGGACGTGAGCGGCGCCGTGCAGCAGGTGCAGCGCGCAGCGGAGCGCGGCTACGCCCCTGCCAGGGTCCAGCTCGCCTGGTCATACATTTTCGGCGAGGGGGTCGACCTCGACATCGACAAGGGCAAGGAAATATTCGAGGAACTGGCTAATGAAGGGAACGCAGACGCTCACGCTGTAAGTAACTTGATCATAGAGGATTTGTCAGTGCCTCATTAGACCTCGTTGTTTCATGATGATGAGTTAAATGTCAGTGGTTGTAAGCAATAGAGCATGTGGGGTGCGCAGGGCGTGGGGTTCCTGCACGCGACGGGGCTGGGCGTGAGCGTGTCGCAGGCGCGCGCGCTGCTGCACTACACGCTGGGCGCGCTGGCCGGCAGCGACTTCGCGCAGATGGCGCTGGCGTACCGGCACTGGGCCGCCGTCACCGTGCCCGCCTCCTGCCCCAAGGCCATGCAGCTGTACATGAAGGTCGCCGCCAAAGGTACGTGCTGCGCCTCTTCTCTGTCCTAGTGTGCCTAGTATGCCTAGTGAGCGAGGTGAGATTGTTGAGGTGACCTGCGCGTGTGCCAGTGGCGGGCAAGGTGTCGCTGAGCGGCGGGCCGGCGGTGCAGCGCGTGCGGCTGCTGGACGAGGCGGAGGGCGGCGGCGGCGCGCTCGACACCGACCTCATCGAGTACTACCAGCTGCTGGCCGACAAGGGAGACGTGCAGGCGCAGGTGGGCCTGGGCCAGCTGCACTTCCAGGGCGGGCGCGGCGTGACGCTGGACGTGCGCAAGGCGCAGCACTACTTCCAGCAGGCCGCCAACGCCGGCAACGCCGTCGCAAACGCCTTCCTAGGAAAGGTACCCGTTGGATCCTCGCGCCGGTCGTGTGAGCTCAGCGTTACGGAGTTTACGTATTGTTTCTCGTTCGTAGATCTACCTGGAGGGCGGCGACGGCGTTAAACCGGACAACGAGACTGCGCTGCGCTACTTCCGCAAGGCCGCCGAGCTCAACAACCCCGTCGGCCAGAGCGGGCTCGGCCTCATGTACCTGCAGGTACCGCGCCTTCCTCGCCGCGCTCTCCTCGTGTACCGCCCTTTGTGACCCTGATCCCTGTCGTGTGCTCCCCAGGGACGCGGCGTGCCGCGGGACACCACCGCCGCGCTCAAGTACTTCACCATGGCGGCCAACCAGGGCTGGGTGGAGGGCCAGCTGCACCTCGGCTTCATGTACTTCGGTAAGTCGACATCATGCAACGTGCGTGCGTCGACTCGGTCGCTCCGTTCTTCCATAAAAGTGTGATGTCGCGTGTCGCAGGCGGCATCGGCGTGCGGCGCGACTTCAAGCAGGCCAACAAGTACTTCTCCCTGGCCTCGCAGTCGGGCCACGTGCTGGCGCTCTACCACCTCGCGCAGATGCACGCCC